ATACACCTATCCCATTGCAACCCATTAACACGGCCATTATGCCTCGCACACAGCTTTCATGCACCAGTTCATTCTCAAGCAATATAAAATCTGAACTGTCAACAAGTTTAAAACCCCTCTGTGTAAGAACAAAGTTTAAACAGCCAGGCTGTTGTTTTATTTAAAAAAATTTTTTTTTTTTTTTTTTTTTGTTACAAGTTTTACATTTAGAAAGCGCAGTTTCAAGCCTTTTTAAAAATGCACGACCCTATATCCTATTCTCTGTCTCATTCGCTTTACGTACTAATTGAAACGAAAGAATATAGCTTACATCTTGTAAAAGGCCAAGGGGAAGACACCGCACGCTATGGGGAGGGCACTGCATGCCATAGGGAATACACTGCATGCCATGGGTAAGATAATACAAGCCATGGGGATGGCACTACATGCCATAGGGAAGATACTAAATGCCATGGGGAAGACACTACATGCCATGGGGAAGGCACTACATGCCATTGGGAAGACACTACATGCCATGGGGAAGGCACTACATGCCATGGGGAAGGCACTACATTCCATAGGGAGGGCACTACATGCCATGGGGAGGGCACTAAATGCCATGGCGGATGGCACTAGATGCCATAGGGAAGATACCACATGACTGACTGCAGAGTTGTGGAATCACTGAGGAAAGAGTGACGTAATTCCTTGACCTCTTGAGACGACATCTATCTTAAAGTGGATTGTGAAATGCTGGTAAGCAGGGTGGGTCTATACACCCCCCCCCCCCACTTTTTTATGGAAGCCAACCCCCCTCATCTCTGTTTAAAATTATTTTAAATATAGTTCATTTATTTATTTATATACAAGTTTTAGTACATAAGTTCATTTATGTTATTTCCATGCGTGTGTGTGTGTGTATGTTTGTGGGCTGTAAAATTTTGCACACAAAAATTTTATGCTGTCAATCTTTGCACACAAATATATGATTTTGCCCACGAACCAGCAAACCTTAGAGTGAACATGGTACATGGGCCGATCGTAAATGCATTTTTTTTTTTTTAAACTTAAAAACAATAGGTTTTTAAAATTACAACAAATGACTTAAATTTGGGTAATTTTTATTTTTATTTTATGTAGATTTTGGCCACGCAACATGAAGTTGTAATATTTGTATCTGCGTTATTATTCAGTATGTTAGCAAAACTTGACTTAATTTTAATTAAATGATCATAGGAAAACAACATTTCTCAACACCTTCAACTGTCAACATGTTGCATAGTTATAAATTGTTGGATATACAGCTGCAATAGAAATGAAATGGAACGGAATTATAAAAATGGCTTAGACTCTATATTCAAGTGTATAAAACATCACATGGTCACATTAATGTTAAAAATAAACTTTTTTTTTTTTTGAGCTTTTCCAGTAACTAATGTTGCTAGATAATTTTATTTGTTGTTTCCATAAAATCGTAACATCAGAAAATGTCATTCATATACATGGGCGCCCGCAGGGGGGGGGGG